CAGTAAACCTTCTGCAGGTAAGGAATTTTTTTTTCCCTGCACCATTTACCTTTGAACTTGAGCTAAGCATCAGAGATAACTGCATGTCTTTTATTTGTACTAGAGACTAAATCGTAGAATGGACCATTGAAGATAATATTTTATGACTTTTCAAATATTAAGCAGTTTATCATCTTGTGTGGACTTTTTGTTTTGGCAAAATATTCAATAGGCAAACTACTGCTTTAGGAGCTAAGAGTAATAAGCTTCGTATAGGTTTTCAAAATATCAATATAGGTTGAATATATTAAATCACTCACTGTACTAAAGATCATAAAAGTTAAATGATCTGATCTATGATATCTATGGAACAATAATGAACCTATTCAGCATATGTAGATAAATCAATTACTATTGTAAAAAAAAACAAGCTGGGTAGTTTTTGCTTACTTTGTTCCCATATTCTCCAAAAGATAATAATACTAATAACCTTCGACCATATTTCTGTAGTTTCAAATATAAAATTTTCTTTCATGATTGGATGTAGCTTTGGTTCTACTCCAGGAAATTATGAAGATGCAGAAAGTTCATGGCCCAAGAGCACTTAGTGCAAAAGATGAGATGGGAGACTATCGAGATATCTAGGTTCTTTGCCTCTGCAGGCAAAGCACCGAATAAATTGCATTCGTACCGCCATAAAACGAAATATGGATGTTCAGAAGTATGCTTACGCGAAGCAGATGCTTGAACTTCTGCTGTCTAAGGCACCTCCAAGTAAGCAAGAGGAATTGAGGAGCCTTATTGACATTTGTGTTCAGAGGGGTTTAACCAACAAGTCAATTGATCCACTGGAAGATCCCTCTCATTTCTGTGCCGCCATTCTCAGCCGTCTGTCCACTATCGGATATGATGTTTGCGATCTCCGTGGTGCCAAATTTTCAGCTCTTTCAACTCCCGGATGCGTCATCTGTGGTATGGGAAGCATATTAAAAGATCAGATGCACTAGGAAGTGCAACCCCAGTACCTTCACTATTTGGCTGACTTCATATCTGTCATTTCTATAGCCTATCAAACTCTCCTGAGGATTTAACAGCATCTACAAGGTAAATAATTTCTCTTGTTCATCTGTTTGTATATGATTCTATTCCCTCTCTTCGTACTCTTCTCCTCCCTTCTTTGTTGTTTCGTATATCAGATTTCAGTCATGAATAATCGTATTTTGTTTGTGGTTTTTAGATAGTTCCTGGAAGGATGCTATTGTACAGTGACATGAACAGGTTTCCACAGTCTCTTATTTTCGTTTTTTTTCTGTTTTTTGGTTCATTCTCGTGTAATAATACACAATTGAAAAAGTAAATTTTGATTTGTGTACTTGAATTGATTGATCAGTTGCAATGTGGCCGGTTTAATGCAAACAATTCATTAAGCCTCATTATACAATTCTTCATCCTTAGCCTACCACCATCTGCAACTGATGGATGTGGTTTTTTTCCTCGATAGGGCAGTCTGGAAAAAAAATACGGAAACGGGACACCTTGTATTTTAATTTAGGATTTATGATATTTGTTACAGTGTAAGGTGAACTTGTCATCTTGAGATGACGAGTTTCTTGAGATATATTATTTTAATAGATTTGGATAAGTGGACCCCACATAGACCATTAATTTATTGATTTATAAGGACTTGTCACTTCTAGATGACGAGTCTATTAAAAAATTGTTATTATTTGTTTTAAGTGTTGGGAAAAAATTTTAATTTTTTTAAAAGATAATATACCACATCGAGGTGATGAGTTCTTTCGAATTCAAAAAAAATAATTAGTTATTTTGTAGATGTTGTCAACAGTCATTTGAGCAACTGTCACAGGAAACTCGTCACCTCGATGTGACTAGTTCTTCCGGATTAAATTAAAAAAATAAATTAATTACAAAGTATATTAATAATTTTATTAAAATAACAGTGTTTACAAACTAATAAAATTTATTTATATTTCCTAAGTTCTTGACGATGTCAAGGAGTGGTCGAATGATAATGGCATGGGGCTCGTCGAGTAAGTTGGGATCGTTGGCCTTGATCGCCGTTGTCGTCATCTTCATCATTCTCATCTTGTGTTGGTTGTTGAAAAAAAGGAGGTGTACTTAACACACTCTGAGATCCACCTTCGAAATACGTGGATGGACTTATGGTATTTGACGTCATCATTGTCGTTATTGAATCGACTTGGCTACCTTGTTTACCATATATGGTATGATCATGTTGAACCGTGTTATATAATATTTTGGTATAACAAAATAAGGCAAAATGTTTTTAGACTTGATTGAATCTATTCAAAGTTTTCAAAAATAATTCAAAGTCCATTAAACTAGAATTTGAGCACAAAATAGTTTTTTTGGATACGTAGTACCGATACTGTTCTTACAATATCAATACTGCATGAACAGTACCAATATTATTCACGTGGTACAGATATTGAATGTAAGAGAAGTATCAATACTCTCTAGATAGTATCGATACTACCATGTGTTTTCCAAATTGCTCAAATTCTATAATGCAAAATAGCACTACAGCAAAACTGTTCTGTAGTGGCGTTTTTAGCGGCGTTTGTTGATAAAATGCCACAAAAGTATTACATATAGCAGCGTTTTCAATCCAAACGCCACAAATTGAGACTTTAGCGGCGTTTTTTGTGAAAACGCTGCAATAGAGTATAAATATAGCGGCGTTTTTGTTAAAACGCCGCCATAGGATGGTATATAGTGGCGTTTTTTCAACAAACGCCGTAATTAATAATAGTTTTTGCATCGTTTTTAGACAAACGCCACAGAAAGGTTAAACAATAGCGGCATTTATAGTAAAAATGTCGCAATATAGTAGACATGTAGCGGCGTTTATAGTAAAAACGCCGCAATATAGTAGACATGTAGCGGCGTTTTAGCTAAAACGTCGCAATATATTTAACATTTAGCGGCGTTTATACCAAAAACGCCGCAATAGAGTGGTAAATTAGCGGCGTTTTTTGTATAAACGCCGTAAAAAACATGTGATATAGTGGCGTTTTTTAAAAACGCCGCAAAATGTTAAATATATTGTCCTTAAAATCATTTCAACTCTTCTTCCCTCATAGTTTCTTCTCTGGTACAACAACGACCCTCACACGATTCCAAGCGACGTCGTCTTTTGTCTATCCCGGCGACCAAATCGGCCCTCTCACCGACGAACTATAACACAATTCCACGGTTTGATCCCTCTTATCACTAATGATCTTTTTCAATTTTGTTTTGGTTGGTATTCTGAAAATGAGGAAAACCCAGAAAGCTAACAGCTAACATATTTGAGAAAAAAAGAACAGGTCTTGCCTTGAGTAAGAGAAATTATCGTCGGAATGTCTACGTGGCGTATTTGCTCTGACGATGGATCAAATTATCGCTGGGAGGCTATCGGTCCGGTTTCGCCGTCGAAACTCGATGATGACTCGACAGGAACTCATATTGCTCCATACCCTTCCATGGCCGATCTCCTACTTGAAGGTAAAATTCTATGAATCTTTATGCCGCTATATTTCCCTTTTTGTACGGTCACTCAAATTTCATAGATCGTACGCATGTAGGATCTTCGAAGCTTATTGAGAATGATGATAGAGAAATGGATAAATACCCTATGTTTAGAAACGAATTTGGTACCTCTGTGGCGTTGAAAGAATCTTCAATTGCAAAAGCAGTATCGATCCTCAATGAAGACGATGTTGCCTCTACAGTTACTCCAAGTAAACGTTTATATCATCTGTTTAAATATATTTTAATGTTTGATTCAATTCCCAAGCACCTCCAATCAAGTTTTATACTGTAGGTGGAGGGTCGTTATCTATTTCAAGTGAAGCACTGAAGCGCGCAAGGAGTCTTATTGGTGAACCGGAGGTAGGAGATTTATTTTGTGAAATGGATGAAGAGTTTCTCCATATAGAATTTACACGGAGGAAAAACTTAACGATGTGTCGTCAAACAAGGAAAACATCTTTCCTACGTCCTTTCCCCACGAAGGAGCAATGAAGACTAAATTGTACTGAACAATATAGTGAAGACTGTTTATGCATAAGTACTTTAATGTTTCTAAATTATAATATATGTTGAAGACTGTTTATGCATAAGTACTTTAATGTTTCTAAATTATAATGTATAGTGAAGACTGTTTATGCATAAGTACTTTAATGTTTCTAAATTATAATGTATTTTGTTGTTAAGTAGTTTTATGCATAAGTACTTATGTCTTAATTAAAATGTATGGTTGTAACTTTAGGTTATCTATAGAAGAAATGAAATATTTAAAATATATTAATCTTATATAAATAAAGGTATTTAGCGGCGTTTGTATCTAAAAACGCCGATATATATCTATCCTTTTACGGTGTTTATATCCAAAAACGCCGCTAATGATAAGTACATTAGCGGCGTTTTGTTACAAACGCCGCAATAGGTGTTACTTAAATCCTGCGAGAGCATTTCCCCCCTTGAAATTGAATTCTAAACCTAATTTTATCGAAAACAACTGCTGCTACTCGTTGCTGCTTGAAGGGTCCTTTCATACTACTGCTCGGAGATGACTCCAATAATAAATTTCGTCAACGAAAGGACACCGACGACGAGCTTGGTTATCCCGAACTGTAAGTCCTTTCTATCTCAATTTTATTTTTATTATTTTTCATTTTCGATTCAATCACAGGAGTTATTGTTATTTTAAAACAAATTTTGTGTATATGAATGTGTAGGGATGAGGATGCGTTGTTGAATACACAGTGCCCAAAGAATTTAGAACTTAGATGGCAAACGGAGGTCAGCTCCAGCATTTATACAACTCCCTTAATTTCTGATATCAATAGGTAGTTTACTCTTACCTTTTGAGTTCGTGTTTTCATCGCATCTATGCTTTGACTATGTTAAAAATCTCAATTCTTTTCATTTCCCCTTTCGAAAATCTGCTCATCTTTTTTGAGTAAACTCATCATACAGAATAATTTAACTAACTCCCGCCAGATTGTGTAATTTTTAGTGATGGGAAGCTTGTCATAGTGGTTCCCTCATTTCTTCACTACCTTGAAGTTTTAGAAGGTTCTGATGGCGATAAAATGCCAGGTACTAGTGCTTCGCTTTCCCTAGATCATGTTAAATCGAACTTATCGATGAATCTATAGCAATCCGATCGAAGTTGATGTCATTGAGTTTTCAATAATTTGTCAGGTTGGCCTGCTTTTCAACAGTCAACCGTGCATTCTAGTCCTCTCTTGTATGATATTGATAAAGATGGTGTGAGGGAAATCGCTCTAGCTATCTACAATGGTGAAGTGCTTTTTTTCAGGTTGTTTTTCTTAATTATGGCACTTTAGCGAAAATGATCTCTATTTGGTAGAGGAACTCATTATTGTGGTGTTGGAATGCTAATTTATCCAAGGGTTGGTTTTTTAGGGCTTTAGGGTACTTGATGACTGATAAATTAGAGGTACCACGTATAAAAGTTCGTAAAGATTGGTACGTGGGCTTGCATCCTGATCCACGTATAAATTAGGTCCTTAGTGCATCCTATCATCTAAGATAAAGATGGCTCAAAAGAAACACAGAGACCATTACAAAATTTGGGTTGGGTATTGCTAGTCAAGATCACATCATGTACCCTGATGGGGAGTGGGTCCTTTACTCCAGGAGTTCGAATTTTTTTATAAGCCATCAACTCATGTTTATGTGCATGGTGGGTATTAGGATTCATGACTTCTTTTTCCTTTCTTTTCATTGTCACTTTTTTATTTCTTGCATGGAACCATACTGTAACATTTAAAAATCTTTCTTTTGGAGGCATATATGTTTCACTTGCAAGTCCATTGAATCAGTACATTATTATGCATTAATCATGGTAAACTGTTTTAGATCATCATTTAGAAGTGTGCCATGTGGTACATTACCACCCTTTCCAACATGTAAATCTGCTTGCTCTTTTTTGCATAGGATGTTGATGAAATAATGATCATTATTATGATAAATATAATTTACTTTGTATTCGTTGGAAGAACCCGGTTTTGCTAGTAGGGGCTCTGGAGATTATTTTGTCAGCTTTCATTCGGTTCAAAGGATGTTTCAATAGAAGAAAATATTTTCTCATTATGGACACAAGATAAGTCTGCTAGATCCGCCTCGGTTGGTCCGATATTGTGTGGGGTTTTGACCTGAACCCTCAACTACTGGTAGGATCTTTGCAAAACCTTTAATTAGCAACTGTGAAAATAATATATTTGAGTTCCTTTCTAGTATTGCAAAACTTTTTTATGGATAGATTTTCATGTTTTTTCTGTACGAAATGGAATATGAGATATGGATTTGATGTTACTGCTAAATCTATTGCAAACATGAGGTAGTAACAAAGATAAAATTGATTTATATTAGTAGGTGCTGAATGTATTTTTTTTTCTTCTAATGGAATAATCTATATAATTAATTGTTCAAGAACTGTAGAAATTTTAATCTCTGAGATGTTCCATTGAATAGATGAACTTGTGGAATGTGGCTGATAAAAACAATAGAGGTATGTTACAAATGCTGCTACTCGTTACAAATAATGTTCAATGTAATCACCAGCAGACTCATCAGGGTTTGAGAAGTATGTTACAAATAATGTTGGGTAATGCTAATAGTCTCTGCTCTGCAACATGCCATTGGATAGAATTATATATTTCTCACTTGTTATACATCAGGCCATTCACAGTGGTATGTACTTTCCTTGTATTACATATCTCGTTTATTTATTTTCTTCTGTTAGGGGTTAGAAAGCATGTACAGTTTGGCACAGAAAAGCATTCAATTGAAACCAATGGCCTCTGCACATAAGTTGATGGGGCTTATAATTGAAATTATTGGGGAAAATACTGAGGTGACAAATGGGGATAAAATATTAATTTACAATCTCCGTTAAATTCTCTTTTTGCTTCCTTATCTTTAAGTTAGATTGTGCTTTTGTCTGTTCTCAGGTTGTTTTAGAAGAATGCTTGAAAGGATTTGGTCCTTGGTAAGCTGTCATATTTCCATCTTTATATCTTTCTGTTTGTTAGGAATATAGTTTTGGAGCCTTTTTCTGGGTGCTATTGATTTAAAATATGTTTGGTCCGATAAGCTGTTAGAAGTTATCATGAAATTCAAGCTTGGATGTTTCTGCACAATTATTAAAATCTATCTCTATATTTTGCTTATCATCATAATGGTTGCCCATGCCATAGAGTTGTTGACTGCTGGGACTGACTATGCAGAAATGTGTTGTTAACTTTTTTAACGTAAGATATAATGAATTTTCATATAAACTGATGATTTATTTGGATATGAAACTAGAGATCGGGTTTGCATTGCCATGGATGGGGCCTTTTCAAGTGGTATGCCAATTGGAGTAAGACCTCATGAAGCAAAATATCTGTGCAAGAAATGACAGGACGATACTAGCTCTGTATCATTGTTTTCCCATATAAACTGGATTTATCTCTTTGAATTTAAGCGCCTCATTGTGAAGAAGAGTTTTGAAGAATGTGTAAGATTAGAAGCAAAATATCTTAGATATTATTGTTTATTATAGTTAATAATGTTGAACTACATTATATTTTACGTTAATGTAAACTTTGATTTATTATTATGGATTTCATTTTTCTTGTTATGGATTTTAAGTTTGTTGTTATGATGTCAAGTTTATTGGAAAATGCTACAGGTTAAATTTGGGTAATAAAAGAGTAGAAAACAACATTTGACAAATTAGTTTTAATTTGCAAAATCAATTTCTTTTAGCTATAGAGAGGTAATTAGCGGCGTTTATATCTTAAAACTCCTATAGATATGACCTTTTGCGGCGTTTGTTATAAAACACGCCGCTATATACCAGATCTTTTGCGGTGTTTGTGGGAAAAACGCCGCTAAATCTCAAGACCTATTGCGGCGTTTGTGAAAAAAACGCCGCTAAATCTCAACACCTATTGCGGCGTTTGTGGGAAAAACGCCGCTAAATCTCAACACCTATTGCGGCGTTTGTTGGAAAAACGCCGCTAAATATCAACACCTATTGCGGTGTTTGTTGGACAAACGCCGCTAAATATTAACACCTATTGCTGCGTTTGTTGGACAAACGCCGCTATATATCATTACCTATTGCGGCGTTTTTTGTTACCAAACGTCGCGAACTTTAGCGACGCTATTTTCAGCGGCGTTTTTTACGGCGTTTGTCATAGCGCCGCAGGTGTTTTTTGCGGCGCTTAAAAACGCCGCTATAAGTAAAAAAAATGCCGCAAATGTACAGTTTTGCTGTAGTGTAGGTACCGATTCTTCGAAGGGGTACCGATACAACTTTACACAGTGGTATCAATACCATGAAACATAATATCGATATTGGTCAAGCCCAACGGTCTTTAACGACTAGTTTATGTAAATATTACAAAGGAAATATTGATACTCATTAAAGGAGTACCGATACTCCATGTCTTGGGCAGTTTTATTTCATAGAAAATTAATCCCCAATGGCTAGAAATGGCCACAAACTCATTCTAACATATAAAAACAAGTTGAGGACACTTGAAGAAGGGTTAGAACAAATATCCAAGCAATCAAACATGAGAGAAGAGCTTTTCACTCGTTATTTTTCCTTTTCTGTTATACATATGTATTTGAGCTCATTGTAAATCTTTTATTTGTTTTCTTGTGAGCTTAACTCTTGTAAACACCTACCTTTTAGAGGTTTTCTTGTTTACATCTTGTATTCCTTTTGTAAAAGGGTTGGTTCTAGCTTAGCCTTTGAAAAGCTAGAGAGTTGTAAAGGTTATCTATTGATCATGTAAAAAGAAAGAACAAATTAGTGAATTTGTTAGAAAATCCTAAGTGAGGAGCTTAGGTAGTGGATGTAGACTTGGTTGAGAAGTCGAACCACTATAAATCCTTGTGTAAATTGTCTATGTCTTTTTACTCCTTACTCCCTAAACTCAAAAAGTCAATTCACCCCCTCTCGGCAAATCATTCAGTTGATCATTAAGCTTTATCGAAATCCCAATAATTGGTATCAGAGTTTGACTCATTAGAAGGTTTAACAACCTTGAGACGATCCTTAAAGAAACTCTATCTATTTTCGAAGCAACTGAGAATATGACTTCCACCTCCGACTTGTTCCACATGGAAGACTCCCAATCGATCGACAAGCCTCTACACTTCAATACAACCAACTACCATCATTGGAAGAAATTAATGAAGTTATTCATTCAATCCAATGATCTTGATGCATGGGAGATGATCGAGAATGACTACTCTTTTCCATAGAAGAAGATAAATGAGTGGAGTACCCAAGAACGGAAGAGAACTCAACAAAATGCTAAGGCCATGCACATGTTGTTTTGTGCATTTGGTCCCGATGTCTATGAAGAAGTTTCTTCTTGTTCAAATGCCAAGTAGCTTTGGAATAATCTCGATGAGATTCATGGAAACTAGAAAGAAGAACCAACAAAGGTGGTGTGCTTAATGGCTCTTGAAGAGCCCGATGTATCTTCTAACTCTAGTGAATCTAATTCATACTCTTTTAATGAGTTACAAGATGCATACGATGAATTATTTTTAGAGTTTGAGACCATGAACTCCAAATATAAAAAATTTATTTCAAAATTTAAAGTTGAAAACGATTTTCTTTTGAAAGCAAAAAATGGATTTTGAAAATCAAAATGAAATTTTGAAAAAGTATTTAGGCTTTCAAAAGTAAAAATTGAAATTTTTTAAAAAGCATGCTTTGATTTAAAAGTTAAGCTTGAATGCTTAACAAAATAAAAGGAATCATTTTAAATAATTCATCTAATTTCATAATGATAAAATGCTCATATTGTCATTATCATGGTCACAAGGAATATATTTATCCTTTAAAGAAAGGAAAACATTTTAAAATTAGACAAGTATGGGTTCCTAAGGGAACAAGGGACATTGAAACTAATGTTCAAGGATCCAAAGCAATTTGGATACCAAAATCCACTTAAATGTCTCTTGAAGGTGTGTGAGAGCAATGGTGATGAAAGTGAAGATATTCAAATGCTCTAGTCACACTTGAAAATGAATGGGTAGCCTCTAAGCTTAATGTTTTTGTTTTGATTAATTGGTAGCCTATTTTCTGTAAGCATGCATGAGTTTTGATTTTAAATAATTTATGTTTTCTATCTCATGTATGTTAAAAAGTGTTGTGATGAACATTTTCTAAAGTTTTAATGATTTTCATAAATGTTTGTTCATCATAATGAATTTTGGTCAAAATTAGTTTTAATACTTTGCTTTTACAAATTTTAATTTTTGACCTCTTCTAAAGAAGAATGGATCAAGCAAAAAGAAGGCATTTGTAATGACTTTGAGTGATGAAGACAACTCCGGTGATGAATGTCTCTTGTAGGTGTGTGGGAGCAATGGTGTCACAAGTGAAGAAATTCAAATGCTCTAACCACACAAAATGAGGAACCTCGAAGCTTAATGCTTTT